TTCTGACCAGCACAGCTCTCTGGGCCTGAGCGGGGGTCGTCAGGACCCCAGAAGCAGCACTGCTCCCATGCCCCTCAACATGCCTCTCGGCCCTCCAACAACCTCATCCTCCTGGCCTTCTGTAGGTTCCCAGGCTAGCATGCCACCCGCTGCTTTTCCCCCTGGTATGCTTCCAATCTACCCCATCTACCCACCTCTTACTCAGCCCTTACCCGTCCCAGATCCATCACGTTTCCCCCCCACCCAGATGGTTCCTCCCATGATGGCCTTCGTTCTGCCCAACTACATGTTCCCGCAGATGGGAGTGCCCATGTGTCAGCCAGGCTCCACCCCTGGACCATTTTACAATCCCAACTTCGGTTACCAAGGGGTCCCCACAGCCGCTGTCCCCACAGCCGCTGTCCCCACAGCCGCTGTCCCCACAGCCGCTGTCCCCACTACTGTTTCCAACCCCATGCCCACACCAGGCACATGTGCCCTGTCTCGCAGCAGCACGCCACAGTCTTACACTCAGACGCCAGCTGATCGCGAAGGCGCAGAGTCACCCCTCTTCCAATCCCGATGCTCCTCCCCTCTCAACTTGCTTCAGCTGGAAGAGTCGCCGAGCAACCGGTTAGAGGTCGCCACGGCACTAGCAGCATCTCAGCAGGCATCGCCTTCGGTGCAGGGTGGGGCAGCCAGGGGGCAAAGTTCCACCAATCAGAGGAGCTCAGATGACACCTCCAAGGAAAATGAGAATGTAAGTGTTCAGGATAGGATGTCTGACCTAAAAATGTAGCAATTGCTCACAAAAGACTTAAAAAAAAAAAAATTAACATTAATGTTTTCCCCATTAGGGTGAAGCTAATGAGTCCAACAACGATGCCATGTCCACCTCCAGCGACCTGCTGGACTTGCTGCTCCAAGAAGACTCGCGCTCAGGCACTGGATCAGCTGCCTCTGGTTCAGGGTCTTCGGGAACAAGATCCTCGGGTTCGGGCTCCGGTTCCAACGGCTGCAGCTCCTCTGGCACCAGCGGCACCAGTCAGTAGATTTAAATCATTAGTGCCATTTAAAAAAAAACATCTTGTTCTCGGCTGTTGATGAAATTCTTTTTAGTTTAATGGTTTCTATCAGGGACGCAGCGTTCTGGGGCACTCTGACATTTAATTTAGTTGATCGTGATATGACTGTTATTAGTAAAGTGAGATGATGCCAGATGAAATAAATCAGATGAACTCTAATAGTTGCAGTAAAAAAAAAATGTTTTGATTGAGATTGTCTCTAATCAACACTGTGATGGTCTTTAATTCTCAAGTACAGACTGAAAACTCTTCTAAACTTTGTTTTTTCCCATCTAGTCAGCAGCCAGGGCAGCCACACCAGCAAGTACTTCGGCAGCATCGACTCGTCGGAGAATGACCATTCCCGCAAACAGCCAGCTGGGGGCAGCAGCAGCGCGGGAGGAGACGGTGGAGAGGAGCAGTTCATCAAGTGTGTGCTGCAGGACCCCATCTGGCTGCTGATGGCCAACACAGACGACAAGGTCATGATGACCTATCAGCTGCCTGTCAGGTACAGCACTGGGCAAAATGACATACACGACTTTGATTCACTCATTCAGCTCCCAGATGACAAACTGGTTTAGAAAAAGTGAGGATTGTTTTGTTTCTCAAGACGTGAAGTATAAGTGGGACCGATCTAGTCATACTGTAGAGAAATACAAGCAGCTGTTAGTCCAGAAAGGCAGCAGCTTAATACTTGTCCACTTTATTTGTCTTCGTCAACAGGGACTTGGAGACGGTTCTGCGAGAGGATCGTGAGTCCTTGAGGAACATGCAGAAACACCAGCCACGCTTCACAGAGGAGCAGAAGAGGGAGCTGAGCCAGGTCCATCCCTGGATCCGCACCGGACGCCTGCCGCGAGCCATCAACATCTCCGTGAGTACAACAGATCCACCCTGTACCATGTCAACGTGCGATGTACGATCTGTTTTGTGGCAGAAAATACAGGAAGTCGCTTCTCTCTGTGTTTTCAGGGCTGTACCGGCTGCAAGTCTCCCCCCGCTGTGCCCCCCGCCGCCCCATTCGACGTGGAGATCCACGACATGGAGCTGTGCAGCGTGCTCAAGGCCGAGGAGGAGAGCGCCGGCGAGGTGATGAAAAGCCTCACAGAGGCGGCTCACCCTGAGGACGAAGAAGAGGAGGAAGCAGTTGAAGATAAAGGAACAGAAAAACAGGACAGCAGCCAAGACATGGCGGCAGAGGAGGAGGGAGCGAGGTCAGACACTGTGGAAGGAAAAAGTGAGACTTAGCCACTGGAGTCTGACGGGACTCACCTCGCAGGTGGCCCAAAGTGAAAAGCACTAGCGCCAATCATGAGCTTCATCATGAGACAATATGCGCCATCCAGGACTTCCTGTGCTCAAAGCATCATTACAGAGGCTGTAATCCAATGAGCTTGCGCTGGGATGCTGAGGTGCGTACTGATGCACACGACTGCCGTTTATTGTCGGACAGCAGGTCAGGCGGGACACGTTGATTCTTTGAGTCTGATTTCGATGTCAGCGGTCCAGGCACCCACTGGAACTGATAATTAAATGCCTTGGACACCACCGGACACGCACACTCAGTTTTAGAGAGTGAATTTGTCCTGTTTTCTTTCTTTTTGTCTATTTTTTTTTATTTTATTTTAATTGTCCTTGTAGTTCATGGTATATTTATTTAAGTTGTAAAATAATCAAAGGAGACTAAGGTTAATGTGTTGCAAAGAAAAAAGTGCGCCTTTACATAAAGATGGATGTGCTTCACTCGTGTTTTCATCTCTCCTGTCCAGAGTTCAGCCTGTGACAAAAGAAGGGACTCTGACTTTTCTGAATGTTTCTGGGATCCTGTTCTGGTCTCAATCCTCACTTTTTCTTCTTTTCTTCTTTTGTATGAATTGTGACCCCAAATAATTAAACTACTTTCACCTGATAGAGGAAAATGTACAGTGAGAACCAAGTAATTTTGTAAGCATTGTGTATATTTTTATAATTTGATGCACTGCAGATGGAGAACACCCAAAAGAGGGTGTGTACTGTAAAAACAACAACAAAAAATGTGTTTAAAAAGCTATTTGTTATACGATAGATCGCACTTTTTGGAAATGGAGACAGTGTTTGTGACTCGGCAGTCGAGTTGCTTTACTTGTGGACGAGCGTGGCAATCAGCGGGAGTCTGACCCACACCTTTTAAAAGGCTTCTCATCTGCCAGGCATTAGTTTGAGCACGACAACAGTGAACAAACACTACAGACAGCGTTTCCCAAATTATCAACGCCCCTACGGACCCTGCAGCGCTTCTGTGTTGCTCGTGGTGGTGAGAAGATTTGGAAAAAGGTGGATGTAACTCTTAAAAAGTCCTCCGAAGAGTTCGAAGAGTGTTTTACTATCTTCTCTATTCCACTCTGTCCCTTTTCCCTGTCTCTTCTCTGTGGCACTGTTCTGGTCATGTGATATCCTTTGCTTCATGGCGTCAGTGGTGTCTGCGACAGTTTAATATTTTTGAAGTTCTTTGTACAAAAAAAGACAATAAAATGACTTTAAATGGGTTTAAATGCGAAGTCAGATTTTTCTTCTTTTCCACCTCATGATTACATCTCTTTGCAGTCTATTTTTGTTGTCAGTTGGCGTGGATACACAGAAGCGTCCAGAGCGAGCTGGAAGCAGAGAGCGGATCGGGGCAGCTGCTTTCTTACCCGACCGCAGTCTCCTGCTGTTCTGCTGTGGTTTCTACCCAAAGTGGTCACCGCAGCTTAAAAAAGACAAAAGGCACGTCCTCGTTCAGACAGGCTCAAAGTGGTGAAGCTGACTTCGGTGCATATTATGATTATAACAATGGCAGCAATGATTGTAATGTGCGTGGGTCTGCTGGCAGACCGGCTGGTATTAATAACACAGCTGAAGATGCTCCATCTTTTATTATGCAACAATAAAAATGAGTCTTACTGTTGTAATAAAACATTTTACTGTAGAGTTCAGCATAACTCACGTTTTTAATTATTGCTTTTACGAGCCCTGTATGATTTTTATTCTGGTTCCTGCAGTTTTTTTAAGCTTTCCTGTGCTTACACTGGATCGTTTTGTGAGGCGAGGTTAATTCTGTGGAAAGAATTTAATCTTTTTAATGAACCGTCACCTAAATTGTGCTTGTGTGCCCATGATCTTTAGAAACAGCAGTCAGGATCCACGCTGGCAGCTGTGAGATCGCAGCAGTACAGAAGTAAATGCTAAATTTGCATGCTAATGTGTGAGCCCAAAGAGGGACTACCATTATATTGAGATTCAAACACTGCAATACATCCTACATACTACATCTATTACTTGCATGTTCACCTTTCCACCTGTCTCCCTCTCATTCACACACATGTAATCTGCCTTGCTTCTCCAGTGCACACCTCCATCTCTCCAGGTTGTCCTCCACCTGCTTTCCACTCTTGCTACAGATCACGGAGTCATCTGCAAACATCACGGTCCTTTGCTAGTCCGCATTTCACGAGCTTGTACAACCAACTTTTCATTTCTTTATCAGTCTCTCACATGGTTATGGAGGAATTTTGGGAATCCTTTACAGCCCATTGAGGTTTATTCACAGTTGTTTTAACGTCCCACTGCAGCATTTCGGTCGAGCTGAATTCTTGACTAAAAGTCCAACATGTAAACCTGATGGTTCCAGATGAAGATGGCGAACAAAAGCACGGCTTGTAGCCGGCAGCGCTGTGAAGTGGTCATTATACATGCTGCAACACAGGCCTTCTGTAAGCACACGCCTACAGAAACTTACCTTCTGCATATACTTCATTAGTCTACCTGTTAATGAGCAACACAAGCACACTGTACAGATCCACTCTGGCTGTGAATCAGTGTAAACAACACTTTTTACTGCTAGTCACCTGCATTAACCAACTTCATTCACGCACCCTTGCCTTTCTTCGCCTTCCCTCCGTAACACCCCACCATCCAACCATCACTTCCCCTCCTCTCCCTGCCTCCCCTCCCCTTCCCAAAACCTTACCCCTCTCCACGCCTCTGCGCTGCTTCTCCCTCCTTCTTTCCCTTCTGCACTCTCGTCTTTCCCAATCCGGGAGGACAGCAGGATGGAGGACAGGGTGTGGACCCCCATGTGCCTTCTTGTCATTTTGTCCTTGGGATGGACTGATGCTCAGACTAATGACACTAACGCAAGGTAAGGTGTGCGCAGCAAAGTTATTCTGTATGTATGAGCTGTCAATGTGCCCTTTGTGAACCAATTATCTTTTCAGTATGTGCACATGTGGCAAGCAATTTTCAAGCCCACATCAGTCTGGATTAACTACTGTGCATGTGTGAGACTGTTTCCTCTCCTGGTCGCAGTATTGTGATTACCGAAAGCTCGGTAGAAATAGAAGGGTGTAGCGTTAGAAAGATGTGGTCGGCATCCCATAAACACACAGACAGGCAGGCGGACACATAATGACAGCGTGCTGTAATTTATTGTGATTAAATCTGGGTAGATGTACCAGCAGCAGTGCTCTCGTGTCATATAGTTTGTTTTTCTTGTTGCAGCTGAGAAGTAAATCTTCCTGAAATTCTTTGTTTGTGCAGAGTTCCACACAAACAAGGTGTAAATTGAACATGAGAGACAAACAAATGCCTGTGGCCTGCTAAGCTCCTGAGGGTCAGAAGGGAGGGGACTCCAAAACTGGAATATTTTGGCCAAGTGTGGCCTTAGAGTACCACAAGAGACACACCATGCATGCCTGGAGAACTTGAGAGACAGAAAAACAGCTCTGTAATGTAAGGGATTGTAAATTTTGCCTCACTGGCTGCTACGGAGTAAAATTTAAACCTAATTTCCAGCTGCAGAGTTTCTGGAGGAAAACCAGATGCCAGATCAGCCAACATCTAAATTAACGAGTCTGGGCCTGGCCCGCACGGCAAAATTAAAAGTTGAAGCTGGCGCTGCTTTGATGTGTGTTTATCCGAGTGCGAAAGAGTGGGTGTGTGTGCCACCAAACCGTGTGTGATTGGGCTGCTGTGCGGCGGTGTTTGCAAAGCGAACGCGTACAGTTTTCTTGCGGTGCAGTCAGAGTGTGGCGATAACACATATACTGTGTATTAACAGTCCTGGCTTGGTTTGGCCAACTTCTATGAAAAAAAAAAAACATACCATGAGAGTTTACTGGGAACTTTCCCAGCCTTGGAGAACAGAGAAAGACTGTGTTTTTCACATCTAAACGTGTGTGTGTGTGCAGGTTTTTGCCTCAATGCTCTTCAGTATAGCTGCATAAGCAAAAGCAGCATTTCCTGAAGCCCACAGCGCATGAAGTGAAGGGCAGGATTTCTTTTTCTCTTTCTCTTTCAGGCCAGTCTTCCACTGTGGAGGCCACCTGGTCATAGACTCCGGCATCGTGGCCAGTGAAGGTTTTCCCAGCTTGTACAAACCCAACAGCAAATGCACCTGGTACATCACTGTGAGTCACTGAAAGCAGCTGTGATGTTTCAGTCTGGGACACGGGGATAGCGAAACAGTGGTAGCACCTATGTAGATGACTAAATGTTTTGAACTGAAGCCAAATCATTGTAGTGCCAAAAGGATGTGATTGCTGTGTGGCACTAGAAAATGTGATTTAGAAAAAAATAGAAAAACATTTAATGAAACCAAGGTCAGGTTGACTACAGTGCTCTCAGATCAGTATACAATCTGTGCTGCCTCCTGAGCCACAGCCGCCCCAAAAATGATCAAACCACCAACAACAGGCTCATATTAAGTTGCCTTCATCATTCTACTATAAACCAGCTTGGCCCAAACTGGACCGTACCATCTCCTCATAGCTACAGGGGGAGCCAGACTGTTAGAAAGTGCTTCAACAGCACAGAAACAAGAAGCAAAACATTAATTTACAGTTCCTCTGTGAGTCCTGACAACTGTTGGTTCATCCACATGTAAATAAACATGTTTCAAGAACTCCATTCCATTTACTGCAATTCAATTCAGTTTTATTTAAATGGCTCCAAGGCTCAAGGAGCTTTCTGTAGTAAAGTAAAGCAGCACGGAGAAAACCCCAACGATCAGACGACCCCCTATGACAGCGGTGTTGATCTCCAGGCCTCGGGGCCGGTGTCCTGCAGGTTTTAGATGTGTCCTTGATCCAACACAGCTGATTTAAATGACTAAATTTCCTCCTCAACATGTCTTGAAGTTGTCCAGATGTCTGGTAATGAACTAATCATTTGATTCAGGTGTGTTGACCCTGTGTGTTATCTAAAACCTGCAGTTCGACACCACTGCCCTATGAGCAAGCATTTGGCAACAGTGGGAAGGAAAAACTCCCTTTAAACAGGAAAAAAACCTCCGGCAGGACAAGGCTCAAGGAGGAGCAGCCATCTGCTGTGACTGGTTGGGGGTGAGGGGAGGAAACAGGAAATAGTGAAATGGGACTTTTTGGGGAGCAGAAAAAACAAACACTGCAGTGTTCCCTTTTGTGTTGATAATTCAAGTAACACCTATGCTATTCCTTTTTTTTTTTTTGTCATTTTAACTGTGAAATATATTATTTATTTTTATTTAATCAGCAGGTCCCTCGAGGATAACATCTACTTTTCAGATTTGGCCAACAGGCCACATTATTACAATGTTACAAATTCAGATATAACATCAAACCACATGAAACAAAATAAAAGAAGTCAGAGTCAAAATAATACAAATACGAGGTCGGGGTTGTGAATAACAGTTGCATAGATGATCATTTTCAATGAAAGGACATTTTCAAATCTGGTTATTTTATTTTGGTAATCTATTTTCTTCTGGATCTATTTCCTTCAAAAACACATCTGTAGTTTTTACTCATCATTGATATGCTTCACTTTCAGCATTTTCTTGCTGTTTTCAGAGTAACACAAGCAGTATCAATGTTGAAGAAATAATCTGCCTTACATAACAAAAAACCAGGTTGTTCCTGTGTGTGGGTCATACTGAGTCTGTTGTCCCCTCCAGGTCCCCGAGGATCATGTGGTCATGCTGTCTTTCCGCCTCTTTGACTTAGAGGCTGACCCCATCTGCCGCTATGACTACCTGGACGTCTACAACGGTCACTCTCGCCTAGTGCAGAAGTTAGGTCGATTCTGCGGGACCTTCAGGCCCGGTGCCCTCATCTCCACCTCCAACACCATGATGCTGGAGATGGTGACGGATGAAGCCACTGGTGGAAGAGGATTTCTGGCTTCTTTCAATGCAGGGAAGCCACATATGGAAGGTGAGGACAAGTAATCCTGCAAATATTTTACTGGGGCTCCAGGACGCAGTTTTGTTATTCTCCTGCAAACACAGGGCAGCCCCATGCTTTTATTGTATCACCTGGCTTTTGTCTCACCTTAACATATTGTAGCACACTCTTATTTTTAACTCCATCTTCTTTTTCATATTTCCACAGAGAACCAGTTCTGTGGAGGACGACTGACCAAATCACAGGGCTCCGTAAAGACGCCCAACTGGCCCAACTCCAATTACCCAGCAGGCATCAGCTGCTCGTGGCACATCTCCGTAGAGCCGAGCAATGTAAGCTGATCACACTACACTTCATACAGATTGAGAGCGGTTCACATCAGAATTTCTGTTATTATTATTAGATTCCTAATGATCGCGTAGCATTAAAGACCTGCTCGCTTATATTAAAGAAAGCTGAATTTATCATTTTATTTATTTATAGCATATCAGTGCCTTAATATTAGTTTATCTGTCAAATTATTGTGACATGTTTAAGTGAATATTTTTACCATTTTACCGTATTTTTTACCGTTATTTATACTGTAATTTGCCATTATTCTTAAATTTAAAATTAGATAGCAGTAATTGAACGCGTCACCAGTTTTCTAGGTAAATATATTTTTAAAGGTGCTATTGACACACGCAAAGAAATTAAACCGCAGATATCCAAATATTAAGTTATATGTAATAATGAGAAATGACACAGAAAAAAAAATCAAAAACGCTTACTGAAATGTATTTAATGCTTCATACAAAAGCCTTTGATGAAACCTTCAAGACGCCTCCTTTATGGAGAAACTATAATCGCATGCATTGCTCAGGCATGATTTTGGCTCATTTTTCCACACCAACAGTCTTCAAATCCTGAAGACACCCTTATGAACTCTGAGCATCAGAGCTTTCCATAGATTTTCATTAGATTCAGGTCAGGTGGTTGGCTGGGTCATTCTACCAGCTTTATTTTAATCTGTGAAACCAGCTGAGTTTCCTTGGATGTGTTGGGCTCATCGTCTTGCTGAGATGTCAAACCCTCGTGTCGTCTTCATCATCCTGTTAGATTTTTATCAGGTATGTGAAGGGTGCCCGCGCCATATGCTGAAAAACAGCCCTACATCAGGATGTTGCCACCTCCAAACTTCACTGGAACCTTCAGTAGTTTAGAAATTCTTCTGTAACCAATGCCATCGGTATGTTTTGCATAATAAGGCTGCGACGGTCTTAAGAAAGCTCATTGGTTTTACCCTTCATTAGATGTTTCTTGTTGACACCTTGGTAACGAGACACCTTTTTATTTGGACTGAACCACCTGATATTAATTTGCAATAAGTGGAAGGATTGCTTTCTGATTACTGAAGATTTCAGCTGGTGTCTTTACTTTTTGTACCTCCTTTTCTTCATGCGTTCAATACTTTTTCTCTTTGTCATTATTACACATAACTTAATTCATGGACTATGGTTTGATTTCTTTGCATGTGTGGATTTGATAGGTTGTTACCGACATCGGGTCAATTTCATGTCAATAGCACCTTTAGAATAATATTTACTTAGAAAACTGCTGATGTGTTCAATACTTATTTTACCTGCTGTACATATATCTAGAATGAAGCATCAACATGTTGAAAAAAAAAAGTCAGATATCTACTGTTCCCCACATGGCCCACATATCTCTTTTGGTTATGTCACCCTAATTAACATATTAATTTGAATTCTGACATTTTCTACAGCCATGCCTAAAAGTGGCATTCTTCACATTCATATGCATTTGAAAAGACTGTAAAATATGTTGATTTTTGTGGCTATTCCGAACTTGTAAGTTAAATACCACAAATTAGGCCGTCTACAGATAGTTATTGACAAGAACACAAATTAGAAAACGAAGTGACATAAGTGGAAAGTAACATCCAGCGGAAATAAGGACACGTGTAGGACTGGTTCACTAGCTAGGCTAGCTAGCATAAATTTTCCCGGTGGAAAAATTTGACAGCATGATGTTGCACTGAGGAACAAATGCTAAGGAATATACGCTGTACATAGCCTTCCAACTAGCGTAAAAAAAGAGAGTAATTAATCCACCTCATAGGGTTTATTTTCCAAGGGTTAAAATGTTGTATCTGGGAGCTAAAAGCACCTAATTGTTAGCAAACACCAAACATGTATTACCTACTCACGCAGGAAAGTGCCCAGTCAAATAGTTTAGATTGAATGATTTATAAATACTCTGTCAGTGGGTGCTTCAGTCAGTTTAATAATAAAATCCAAAGGTGTTTTCTGTATCTTCAACACTTTAAAATACTTTTATAGTTAACTCTATAAAAACGAATAATATAGCCAATATTTCCAATCAAAGAACAAATAGATTCTTGTGGATCTAATCTACATAACCAGTGAAGCTGACAATGCACCAGGAATGCAATAACCTCAAAACAAAAAAATTTGCACATGATTGTTAACAAGAACTGGGCTTAAATCTTTGTGAAATATACAATTAGAAAATATGCACGGGTGCTGAGGTATCATTTTAATTTGTATTTCTATAATTTACGTGCACCAAATATTAGTCAAAATCAAATTTCAATTGACTGCATGTGCAGTTGAGTATGTTAAATGCCTTGTGTTGGAAATAAATGGCAGTAAAGGGGCCCATCACAAGGAAATGTACTTTCCTTGTATAATACTTAATGCAGTTATCGTGTGTGAGTGTGACAGCGGCCTTGTGCCGAAGTTAAAATGAAAGACCTCTTTGAGTCCCTGCAGGCGTGATAATGTGTGCCAAGAGATTGAACTAAAAGAAGGAGGGAAGGAAGCAAGGGCAAGAGAGGGAGTAAATGCACCTCTGTGTTTCAGAACTCCACCACCACCTCCTGATGGCTGCACTGTACACGGCTCATGAAAATTAGTCAGAAGTAAACATGTGCTAGCGCCATGCCCTGCCAAGACTTTCATAGCTTTCTGTTTCCACCTATTTTCCAGGTGATTGAGGTACAGTTTGAGAAACTGGATCTGGAGCCTGACATGTATTGTCGTTATGACTATGTGGCCTTATTTAATGGGGGAGAAACGGATGACTCGAGGAGGATAGGGAAATTCTGCGGAGACAAGCCACCAGGGTGAGATACTGTTCAGATATAAGCTACTTTGAATTAAGCTAAATACATGTATACATACCTTACAGCAGAGCTTTGCTGACGTGTTTATACTGTCACGTCCCGTTTCTTCCACGTGTCTGTCGCTTTATCCTTTCTTTCTACTTTCCCTGTTCCTTTCATAGCACTATAGTGACAAATGGGAACGAGCTGCTTCTCCAGTTTGTGTCTGACCTCAGCGTGACCTCAGATGGATTCATGGCCCACTACTCCAGCGTGCCTCGTGGGTCCCGCACACCCACTGCAGGAGGAGACTTTATCCACAGACCTCAGATAACCTCCACGACAAAAATACCCACCAAACCAACCCCCAAACCAGTTCCCAAACTCAGACCAAGCCCCAAGCCCAAACCCATTCCCAAACCAGTTCCCAAACTCAGACCAAGCCCCAAGCCCAAACCCATTCCCAAACCAGTTCCCAAACTCAGACCAAGCCCCAAGCCCAAACCCACCCCCAAACCACCCAAAAGGCAACCAGGAAGGCCACCGCTAGTAAAGAAACCTCCACTAAACAGACCCACTACTACTAACATCAAACCCACATCTAAACCTAAACCTACACCTAAGCCTAAACCTAAACCTGAAATTAAACCAACACTAAAGCCTAAACCTAAACCTGGAGTTAAACCTACACCAAAGCCCAAACCTACACCTAAACCCAAGGTCATTAAACCAACTCTTAAACCAAGAGTCAAGGTTAAACCCACACCTAAGCCCAGTATAAAACCCAAAGTGAAACCAGTGAAGCCAACCACTAAGGCAGGAGTTAAACCAACAGTCAAACCTAAGATGAAACCCACAGCATCATCTCAACCAGGAGTAACCAAAGCAGTGACCAAGAAACCCGATGTGAGCAAGAAACGTAAGTACAATAAAATGAGTGTTGAATTTTTAACCTGCTTTTTACCCCCATGTATGTATTTGTGTTTACTTGTACTAGAAAGTGTTTGTTGTTTTTCCTACAGCTTTACCACTGAACCCACTGTGTACACAACCCTGTAAGCGGACTGGAACCCTCCAAACCAGCTTCTGCCCTCATGACTTTGGTGAGCTACAAAACAAGCTGCAGTCTGGGCTTTGCAGAACTCCTCTCCATCTATTTTCACACCTTTACACCTACAAAATGTCACTTGGTTCTACACATTTTCTCCCCATTGAAACATGCCTTTTTTGTGATTCTAGCCCACTCTACAACTAAGTGCTTTCTAACATTTAGACACATTTATACTCAGACGAATGCATCTGAGAGCAACTTATGGTTAGTGTCTTTCCCAGTCTTTGGCATGAAGACTGGGGCACCCAGAGGTCAAACCACCAATCTTCAAATTAGTAGCGACCACTTTAGGGTGGCTTTTTAGCAATGGATATTTCACTCATAAGCAGATTCCTCAGATAATCACTCAGAAAGTCTTAAATGTTTGACCAAAGTTTAAAGAAGTCTAAACACCTTGCAATGATAACTTTTAAAAAATCTTAAATTGTTTCCCTTAGTGACCACATCTTTCTTTTTTCTTTATTTTAGTGATTACGGGTAAGGTTACGTTTATAGATCCTGGTCCAAGGGGCTCAGCAACCATCGAGGTGTCACTGATCAAGGCGTATAAGACAGGAAGCCTCACCGTCACCAAATCAGGACCCGCCAAAACAGTCACACTGACTTCTACCTGCAAGAAATGCCCAGGGCTAATCAAAGGTAAAAAATGAGACAGTTTTCTTGCTCTCCATCTTACAGAAATATTGCCACATAATACAGTTAGAGCAGGGTGTCAAACGTCTGTAAATACTGTGTACAAACTGGAATTTCTTAATGATGGCTTTCTATGTTTAGGGTACTACCAGTGCTAAAATCCAGTTCAACGTCAAACTGTATGCAGATGATATGATTTTGTATTTAACCAATAAAAGTCAGCGATTAAAGGCAATAATGTAGATAATAAAACCATATAGAGGCGTCATATTGCAGCATATATCATTGGTGCCTCTGGGATTATTGTAAATAAATAACCACTACATAAAGAATAGGAGTAAAACAGAGTTCTGGATTGGTATAATGTTATTTAACAGGAATTGTTCATTTTCAGTGTTGTTCCTTTAAATGTTTCCCTTTAAAAATCACAAGCTGCTCTGATGTAAATGATAACAACTTGCTCTGGTATTTCTTCATTGTCTCTTGTCCAGGCCGTAACTACGTGTTGATGGGAAAAGTGGACACAGAGGGCAATGGCCATTTGAGCCCCTCCAGCTTCACCCTCCTCTTTAAGCCCGTTCATTCAAAAGCACTGGATGTCATTTCTCGCAAATCATGCTGACATCGTGGCCTAAACCACCAATCAAACTGACAGCCTTGACTCTTTAGAAAATGTAACATTGCATAAAGAGTGAAAATATTATAAACAATATCCTGCAGAATTTTTTTCATATTACAATATGGTTGTGAGAAGGAGTTACATTTTAAACATACGATATTAACATATTACTTTTGTATTTTCTATGTAAATTATAAAGTTTCTGTGTTAAAAGATACATAATAAACACAGTTTGGGGGTAATTTTAGTCTCGACTATCCATTACTTTCCCTGGTACACTGAAGTGCTGTACAACATAAAGATCTTAGAGACCATAAAACAAATATGACATTTATCACCAGCAGCAACATGACACATGATTGTGAGGGACTGTTGTCCTACATGATGACCTCCTGAAAAGCTTGCAATGGCCTTCATATATCAACCACGCTGTCACAGATGCCACTTTAGTGCGAAGGCAGCAAATCGAACAAAGTGCTGGTCTTCAGTGATTTTGGTCCATATTAACATCACACAGTTGCTGCAGATTTTTCAGTTGCTCATTCATGATGAAATATTTTTTTCTATCACATCCTGAAGCTGTTTTATAGTAATGAGATCTGGTGATTGTGGAGGCCATTTGAATACAACAAACTCATTGTCATGTTCAAGAAACCAGTTTGAGATGATCCCATGAACTTTGCAAAACATGGTTTGTCATCCTGCTGAAAACAGTCATCAGAAGATGGGACCACTGTGACCATAAAGGGACATGATCAGCAACAACACTCAGGTAGGCTGTGGCTTTTAAATGATGCTCATTAGTACTAAGTGACCCAAATTGTGCCAATATCCCCCACATCATTAAACCACAACCACTAACATTAACTGTTAATATAAGGCAGGGTGTATCAGTGCTTTCATCTTGTTTATGTCAAATTTTGAACATATCTTCCAAATGTTGCAGCAGAAATCGCGACACATTAGACCATTTGACAATTCAATTTTGTAGCCTCAATTTTTGCTTCCACTGCTTCAAGGTTTGACATGTCGTGTGTTCAGAGATGCTCTTCTACATAGCGTGGTTGTTAACAAGCGGTTGTTTGAATTACTTCTGCCTTCCTATCAGCTCAAAGGAAGGCATTCTCCTGGCATAAACGAGTCATTTTCACCTAGAAAACTGCTGCTCACAGGATATTTTCTGTCCATCTGACCATAGAGATGTGTGAAAATCTCAGTAGATGAGCATTTAAAAAAAAAAAAAAAAAAAGACTCAGACCAGTTGTCACGTTAATGGGTCTGTTGACCCAGCGTTTTAAGTTTTAGTTTATTTATGTTGATGTTTATGTTTTTTAGGTTAGCTAAGTTCATTTGTTTATCAGATTCCCTTTGTGTTTCCCTCACCCTTTATGTGTTTCATGCTGCGTGTCTTATGTTGTCAAGTTCGTATTGCCATGTCTGCGTCTCATGTTTCCGGTTTTATTTTGAAGGTCTGTGTCCTGTGTCAGTGTAGTCTGCTTTGCTTCCTTCGTCTCGTAATGTCAGCTTAGTGTTAGCAGTTTCCCCATGTGTTTCCACTTCCCCTAATCACCCTTGTGTGTATTTAGTCTGTGTGTTTCTTTTTGCTCATTGTCAGGTCGTCTGTTGTCCTTTCTGCTATGTTTCCAGGGTCCAGGTACCTTTGTGTCCATGTCGGGTTTCATGTTTTGATTTTTTTTAAGTTTATCTTTAGTTTCCACAGTTTAGATTATCGTTTAGCTTCATCTTCATCAGTTTTGTTTTGTAATATTTTACCTGCCTTAATAAACGGCTCGCTTTATGTTAACATTCAAGTTTTATTCCACGTCCATTCGTGTCTGCATTTTGGGTCCTCTTCGTCACTCTATACACTCTGCCTGTGCCAGACTGTGACACCAGCCCATTTAGCAGTAAAAAGCATTCAAAGTCCCTTAAATTACTTTTCTTCTCCATTCTGATGCCAGATTTGAAATTCTGTAGATCAGCTTGACCACGACAACATGCTGAAATGCACAGAGTGGCTGAAGTGATCGAACGATTGCATATTTGTATTAATGAAAAGTTGAACATGTCTACCGAATAAACTGGTGATCAAAGTAGGAAAACCTGAGATACAGTGCCATCCATAATGTTTAGGACACCATTTTTGTAGTTTTGCCTCTGTACACCACCATAGTGTTTGTAAATCAAACAATCAATATTTGACTGAAGTACAGATTTTTAGCTTTAAGGGGTTTCACAAAAACTTTGTAGGATTTAGTTTAAGAATTACAACCATTTCACATCCCCCATCTTCAGAGATTGTCACAGTGAGTTTTTTTTAAATTGGGCTTCCACACTAGCTGTCTTACTGTGTAATATATTTTGTTATTAAGATTGGATTATGAGGTATTTCAGGGTATATTTTCTGTCAACATCTTTGAAAAACAATTTCACAACTCATTTTTGTACTTTTTGCTTCTTTATTCTCATATTTGCAAAAAGAGGATGAAGTGCTGGGATTTTCTGAGATAAAGTACGCAGGTCTAAAAAACTGAAAGCATTTTAGGTGATTCAGGAGTGGAAGTGAAAAAGCTACAGTTATGATGGACAGCCTCCTTAAGCTTCCCGTCATGATATATACAGAAAACATTTACATTAAACAAGTTTATTCAGCTTCTGCACCTTCTCTGGTAACTTTCCCTGGGCACATGTGAAACAGCCTGAACTTTATAAAACAAAAAGCCTGTTTTTGTTTTCCTCTCATTTTTAATGACTCTTCTCTGAGGTGTTTTTGTGTTTGTTTTAGCCGCATGAGATTTGAGTTTTTTCAAAATGCATAATTCCTGTTTTCAGTTCTCAGTCTGACGTGGTTGTGCTGATCCATGTTTCAGTGTAAAAATGCACTGGACTAAAAATAAAAAAATACAGTAGGCTTTTTTCCACAATATTATTTTCTCATTATGAAACAAAACAAACCCACCATGGATTGGAAACTTCTAAATGAAGACTGTTTCAGAGGGATTTCTTTAGAATACAATACTGTGCAAAAACTTAGAGCAACCCCTGATTTCTTTATATTTTGGAAATAGGTGGAGTGATTTTTAACTGTACAATCATATGATGGAAATGGTCAAAGGAGCTTGCAAAGAAAAGCGTCTGGACTTCTTTAAGTTACTTGAAGACGTTTCACCTCTCATCCGAGAAGCTTCTTCAGTTCTAAGGTCAAATGGTGGAGAGTCCCAGATATAAACCTAGTGGGAGTTTCCCCCCACAGAGGGACAAAAGGACCCCCTGATGATCCTCTAATTGCCTGAGCCAAGGTGTGAAACTGGGTGTGGGTCCCAATCAGCCAGAGTTTCAGGTGAGCTCATTGTGAAACCTGGCCCCGCCTTATCATGCGAATTTCTGAGGTCAGATGGCCCAGGATGTGAGTGGGCGTTAAGGCGTCTGGGAAGGGATCTCAAAACTGGATTATAGATGGCAGAGAGTTGGTGTCGTAAACCCCCGCCTCTGTTCAAAGATGGTCGCTCACAGTGGACATAGATGGCTTCTTTCACTCCTCTGGATGGTTTGAAAGAGGAGTGAAAGAAGCCATCTATGTCCACTGTGAGCGACCATCTTTGAACAGAGGCGGGGGTTTACGACACCAACTCTGGTGTCGTAAACTGATTGGGACCCACACCCAGTTTCACACCTTGGCTCAGGCGATTAGAGGATCATCAGGGGGTCCTTTTGTCCCTTTGTGGGGGGTTACTCCCACTAGGTTTATATCTGGGACTCTCCACCATTTGACCTTAGAACTGAAGAAGCTTCTTGGATGAGAGGTGAAACGTCTTCAAGCAACTTAAAGAAGTGCAGACGCTTTTCTTTGCAAGCTCCTTTGACTACGATGACCTGGATGACTGAGAACCTTCACAGACACATGATGGAAATGCAGTATATAAAGAAAAAAGTGTTTCTACAGTTACAAGCTTGGAAGTCCATATTTGCTGTGACTGCGTTTAATCCTTAATCACAAATATGACAAACTTTCTTGTCATTTCTGTAAGAAATCTTCAGGAATAGATCTCCAGACATTTTGAAGGACATTCAAAGCTCTTCTTTGGATGTTCCTGCCTTCTGTTCTGTTCTCTGTCAAACTGATCTCACACTGCTTCAATAATGCCGAGATGTGTGCAGATGCACTCTCACCTGCCTGCTGCCACTCCTGAGCCGCCGCTGCACTGGTGGCACTGATCCCATAGCTGACGATCCTGGTGCTTGCTGGACTTTCTTGGGTGACCTGAAGCCTTTTTCACAACAATTAAACCTGTTTCCTAAAAGTTCTTGATGATCCGACAAAAGGTTAATTTAGGTGAAATCTCAGTTGCAACAACCTCCTTGCCTGTCAAGCTCTTTTTATGCAACGCAATGATGAATAAGAAGAATGATTTCAAGCATCCCCTTTTAACACATCCAGTGTACTATTCCAACTCAATCAGCATGACATAATGATCTCCAGCCTTGTGCTCATCAACCTTCTTTCCTGTGCTACTGAGAAGATTATTGAAGCGGTCTACTTTTATGCCAGCGATGAAATGCAGTGGAAGTGGGTTTTTTGGGATCAAGTTCATTTTCATGGCAGAGATGAATTTTGCAATTCATCTAATCACTCTTCATAACATTCGAGAGTATATGCAAATTGCCATCATAAAAACTGAAGCAGCATTTGGCCACGACTCTACTGCTCAAGACCACTTTAAAAAAAAAACACAAACAAAAAAAACAAACAAAAAAAACTCTGGTTGCTTGGAAGCAAAATATGAAGAAACGATGGGTGGCTAAAGACTTTTGCACATGAACATTCAGAAAGTAAACAAGCATTTTGATACACAACCAATTTACCCTCTGACTAAACAGCTCTATCCAATAAATATTCTGTTTTGAGCTGTTTTAAATATTCTTGTTCATTATTTTGCCTAACATTATATATATTATTAAAAACATCCAGTCAAATGTTTAGATAACAGAAATCTGCCGTGAAAAAAAAAAAAAAAAAAAGATTAAACATTTTCCACTAAACTTTGTATTTTACCTGGAAATTGTGACATTTCTCTGAAAAGAAAAAAGTGTGTTGTGTTATTAAAAGCTCTAAACATATATAAGACACATATCAAAGCCAAATTCCAACATGTTCAAAGCTTCATTTTTTATTTGTTAGTTTTCTTTTCATCCCCGCAGCAGACTCCGAGTGTTATCATCAGCCTCTCGTTGCTTACGACAGCAATAGGACAAGAGGAGCACACCTAACAGGATGTAGGTCAGGTTGGTGCTCCAAAATGCAAACAGGTAGAGCGTCTTGTTGCAGTATGGATCGGCTTTTGTTGTGTTTTTATTGTAGTTCGGTTCGTAAATGGAGTAGATCATCACATTACCTGGAGAAATATTAAACAAAAGAGACTCAGAGGTGCTTGCTCAGTAAGAAAATAGTGCTGTAATGCATTAATTCTCATGCCACGAGAAAATCAATTTGCTCCACAACATTAACAGCTTCTCAAATGTGCCAACTCATTATTTTTTGCTTTGGTGTTTAAAGCTGCACAAATCCATTTCTGGCCCCATGAGAGGGGCTGAAAACCCCTCTTTATTTCTCTGTTGTGAATGATCTATTTTAACTTTTAAATCAGTGAACCAGTTATTAAATGTCAGTCAACGGATCTGTGCAGAGCTGAAGTTTTCACGTACTTGAAATAAAATAAGGAAATAGCTCCTCTTTAAATTTCTTTTGAATAAGCATGTCTTACACTTCCATAAAACAAAGGGAAACAATACTATAAGACTCAACAATTAATTTTTACTCTTTGTCAGAGACACGAGTCTGAAACCTCTATGTCACGTATCCATTCATGCAATCAATATGAGTACTACTGTACTATCATGGGGACATTCAGGACTTTCTGTTGATACCACATTTGTGCGGGTTGTGCTAACAGAGCACATGGACTTTGCAGCTTCCACATTTCATGGCCACAGCTGTCATGATTCTATTGCAGAAACTGTCTTTATCAGTTCAGTTTCAACTGTACTGAAATTACCTTCAATTTTTTTTTTTTTTTTTTTTAAATTTACATAGCACGAAACATGAAAACAACACAGCCGCCACAAACATGTGGTCCTCTGATTACATCTCACAGAAAACAGACAACCAGGTTTTAGGAAATAAAAATTCAGAGCACACAAACCAGAGGGAGGCGCTCATTTCTGAAGGTATCATTAAAACTGAAACCATTCTTCAGCATATGTGTGGTCAGAGCATTGCTACCTCAGGCTACCTAAGATATGAATTTACTGGTTTAAGCAGATTCTTGAAGATTAGGCTCTCTAGAAAGCCTGAACTCTTTTAAACAGAATGCAACAAGGCTGCCTCGGTCTGTAAGACCACGGACAGATCATTGATTTAACAGGCTGGTGTGCTGCAATATATCGTTACGTTACACCCTTCTGTGATCAAACAAGACCTGATGCATCACACGTCTAAAGATAAGGAACAAATAAATAATAATAAAAAAACGATGGAACATGTTTCTTTCAAACACAATACTTACATTACCTTCAAAAATCTAAAAATATGTTTTTCTGGCTCTCAGGAGGTTAATCTTATTTTCCCCACATGCACTGATAGATGGTTCCTTAACAATCGTATTATTAGCTCTAGTTTTTATTTTAGATTTGCAACATCAGCTACTCTTTTGCTCTGCTACTCATCTAACTTGGTTGGGAAATAAAACAAAACAAAAAAAAAAATCTGCTTTGCTTGTGCAGGCTGTCTGTAATATTTCTAAAATAGCTGACTTTTGCTGTTAAGAAACTGGATTCAGCTCTCAAAGCTCACCTGTGATGAACCAGCAAACATAGAAGATGATGGCCACAGAGCACAGAACGATGTTGCAACAGTTGTAGCACCAGCTCAGTGCCAACAAGATGGGTACGAGTATGAAAAAACACATATAGACGGGGATGAAGGGCTGCCTCGGACAGTCGGTGCTGTACACCAATCCTACAGGGCACAAGAATAAAGATGAGTGTCTTTATTAAACACCTTTGATTATTTGATTTTTCAAACTTTGTTTCCAGCATATAAATTAAATTCAAACATCAGTAGATTCATCTCTCACTTACCAACTACCCCTTGAGCAATGAATATGATATCGAAAATCACCAAGGTACAATCTGAAGGAAGGCAGTGATATTTTTAGTCATAAATGACACCATGCAGCAGCTGCAGATGTGCAAAAATGTTTCAAATTACTCTTACTTAATATTACTGCCCAAGGCCGGCAGATGTGTTGTGACCTGTTGCTGTCTGGCATTATGCCTGGAAAGAAATCAAACATACGAAGACAAAGAGAGCCACATGATATTCCTCCACCAGTCGTCTCTATTTCTCAGTTACGTAGCAAAAGAAAAGATTTGTTGAAGAAGGACCAGCTCACCAAAGAAAAGTTTCATTTAAAACTTATTTATCACTGCAAGATCTAAACGCGTGTCAGTATAGTCAGGGAATGAAACTTAAATGTATTATGTGAAAGAATTAAAGTGAGATTTTTTTGCAGGCCTACCTGTTTGTGTGTCACCGGACTCCTTTGGAAACATGACAAGGACTGTTGTTAAAACTTGGTGACATTTAATGTGGCTATGTGGGCAAGAGCGTATTGTCAAACTTCCTTTTACAGCGTTTTCACGTTAGTGTATGCCTCTTTGTGTTCCCTTTCCATTATTGTTATATCAATTTCACAGATTTTAGAGTTATTGGGTTTTTTGGTGTATGGGTTTCCATAAGCTTCACGTTGGATAGAAGAGCTCACAGAAACATTCGCTTACATTATCACAAAGCTTCTGATAATTATTCCTTATTTATAGTTTTCCTTTTGCTGTGTGTTTCTCAGCAGAAATGAAATCTGTTTGCTGTCCCAAAAATCGCACTTTCTGTTTTCAGTTCCCAGGCTGATGTTCTGTGTTTTTTTTAAAATATTGGTTTAGTATGAAATAAAAATATTTTTCCCCGATGCAACAATTAACAGGAAGTGAAAAAGATGCAGTAAGCTATTAAACTGGACGTCTTTTTAAATCATCTATTTTGAAATGTAAAAAACAAAGCCAAAACACCACAGATATTGAAAAATTAAAACACTAGAACAGGGGTGAACAACTCCAGTATCCCTGCAGGTTTTAGATGTGTCCTTGAACCAACACAGCTGATTTAAATGGCTAAATTAGCTCCTGCAGTTCTCCAGAGGCCTGGTAACGAACTAATCATGTGATTCCGGTGTATTGACCCAAAGTGAGATCTAAAACCTGCAGGACACCGGCCCTCGGGGCCTGGAAATGCCCACCCCTGCACTAGAACATGGAGTGTATGTAAATAGCCTTAATAGTAGTCTAAACTATAAAAAGATGGCAAACGGTAGTTTGTAAAATAATTCAGTTGAATATTTTATTGAACAATTAATTATTAAATCAGAATATGGTAATCTGTGTCAAGGTTTGACTGAACAGACTCAAACGCAGGACTCAGAAGTGCAAGTTTAGTTAGTTTACTTACAGTGAGGGAACATTGTGCTATTATAAGTCTTTCAGCAGTTCTTAGGCAGCAATTTTGTTTTTCTGATCTTTAGCGTTTTCCAAAAAAGACTCTCCTCTCTCCACCATGCAAAACACTCTCTCACAGGGGCTCACAGGGTGGGCCGTCTTAAACAGAGGAAAGGATACATTGGAAATCTTTGTCATGATAACAGGGAATAAGACTTACAGACAAGCGAGGCGAATACTACTGCAGACAGACCACACTCAAGTGAAGACTGAAGGTTAGGTCCCAGCTTAAATAGTAGTCTGCTGATTGCCAGATGATTCACAGGTGCTTGATTGCTTCAGGTGCCTCAGGGAGAGGGTGGACATCCCCGGAGGATCCTGGCCTTGCAAGGTAAGTGAACACATACACAGTAACCCCGCCTTAAAAGGAGCCTCCCGGGGACCCTCCGGGTTTATGTGGATGACTATGATAGAAGTCCCAGAGCATGGTCTTATCCAGAACTACCGACTGAGGGATCCAGGAATGCTCTACTGGACATACACCTCTCAGTGCACCAGATACTGAAGAGCCCTCCCACAATGTCTGACATCCATGATGCGTCTCACCGAGTAGGATATGGGATATGGGACAAAAAGGCTTGGGCCACGGTTGGGGAATTGGTGATGCTAAAGGGCTTGACCAAGTACTCGAAGTGGCCCTGATGGGTGTTAAATCTTTCCACTGTCCCCCCCTCTCGTATCAGAACCAGGTGATAGGCGTTACGGAGATCCAGTTTTGTGAACACGGCTGCTACTTGTAGTAGCTCGAAAACAAAATTGTGAAAAGGCAAAGGGACTGGGGGACCATGGCGGTGTCCAAATTCAGGGGTTGTATCCTTCGAAGGCTGCAATTTCAGGCCGATTAAGTCACAGCAAAATGGCTAGGACTTTCCAAATTCTCTATATCAGTCATCCACCAAGGACATAGCTGCTGCTGTTTTCATTGCTAGACAACAGGACCCTTCAATTAAACAGTCGCACATCTTCACGGCCTTCGAAGGACTCGGTCTGACATTGTGTACTTAAATAGAAGTACAAATACTACTGTTAAAAAAAAATACTCCAGTAGAAGTTGAAGTACTGTAAAGAGTAGCTCTTTGGAGGATGTTTCTATTTTTTTGGTGAAAAGCTAACTGAACTTTGTGCTTTATCAACATAATGATAAATAATATCAGTAGATAGGAATAAAAACTTTAGTCTATTTTTTTTATTCTAATTTTCTCAGCTTGAATCTGATAAAGGGGAAGAAGGAAAATTAAAAGTATATTTGTATTTTCTGTTGCCTCCAGTTTAGAGGACTTTGCCTCTGAACAGAAAAATGTGTACAGTCAGGGGTTTGGTGGATTTAGCAGGTGGGGAAAACTGGTTTTAATCGATCAGTGTGGGGGAAAAAAAAATCATAACTCACATTAATCTGTACTGAGAGCTCGAGTAGATTTGCAGGCTGTGATCAGCTGACCTGCTGCTCTTTGAGGATGTAAACACCTGAATTATACCTGATGTGAGCAGATGTTTCATGAGTTGTCCTGGCTGATTTCCATCCTCTACACTGCCAGTAAACTGTTTATGCCATCTTTTTTCTACATGGTATGAAGGTGGAATTCATTGAATGAATTTAAGGAACTTCAGCTACAATTCAAAAGAATCTCTGCTGAATCTCAGTTGACGTGACTTCACTCTGAGCATGAAACCACAGCCACTATGTACCTGACACTTAAAAAACATCACTCCCTTTATCCTCGCTCCTCCTCAGTAGGGTTAGCTAGATGCCAGCCGTCATTCCTTTGTGGTGGCAAAAACAAAACAAAACAAACAACAAAAACACGCAGTCCCACTTTTAACCCCTGACTTTGGTCTTCCATGTGTTTCTGTTCAGGCTGAAATTAAAGGCTCAAAGGCTTCAATTCCTCTTTCACTCCCTGATTTGTAGTTAGATACTAAGTTGTTCCCACACAGAGCTCAGAGATCTGCAGAAAAGGTAGGACAGATATTTTATACTAACGAGCAGCTTAAAAGAGTCAGTAATCTTTGAACTCATGAGACTTTGGTATTAGTGTTATCAGGAAGACGTGCAGCTGCAATGATGAATAAATTATTAATATTATTATTGTTATTATTATACTTCAACTGCAGTAACAAAATAAGCGGACTTAATGATGCATGTCACTTAGGCTGGATGCTAAATAAAAATATCCATCACTGTAGAAGTGACAGCTTACATCGGTTTTACTTTCTGTGTTTGAAACAGTGTTATTCTGGTATTTAATATGTTATATAATTTTGATATAGCATTTTACATTTCTGGCTTCCTCAAAATGCTGTATCATTTTCAAAATGCTGCTTTCAGTTTGCGTGAGTTGTGTTTTTAAGCAAGTCACATCAGGCCTCTCCACGCCATCTTGTGGAGAGGCCTGAGGTTACTTCACCTGCTCTGGCTATTTCTGAAGTGATCGGCCATGAATTTGAATTTTGGCATCAAAGTTCAGACCTACGTGCACAATTACAGCAGGTTTTATTACTGCAAAATGCATTTTTAAATAGTCAAAAACTTCAATTGAGTTTTATTTATATACTGCAAAATCACAGTCACAGCTTTCTCAAAATGCTCATGTGGCCATTAAGTTCTGCATAGTGACGTATCTATTGTTCAGTTGCACTCTTAAAGTATAAAACACATACTAACATCTGTATTTCATTGGCAGCTTATTCAGTTATTATAAGGTTATAAACACCACATAGACTTTATCAGACAGGTCTTCATAGTGCTTTACATGAAGCTAAAGATCCTGTTATCTGTATCTGTATTTGCGATTTATCTCCTCCAGCCATGGCTGTCCGACAGCAGCCCACCCAGATGATGACAACTGCCAGTGCTGGGCAGTGGACCACCGGCCTTTGTGAATGTTGTGTTGATATGGAGACCTGTAAGTCAACCGACCTATTTCTGCAAACAGCAGCGATTAGTGCATCAACCGTCTCCTTAGACTTTGCTTCAGGCTTTCTTTGCAATCATTTAGCAGAGAGTCTAAAGTCAGTAAATATTCAAGAATTTCTTCAAGCAATGAGACTATCTCACCAGAATGTCCAGGTAGTAGTATTATAGAGCAACAAAGTTTAAGTTGCTTTAATGGGAACAGGAATTTAAATGTTAAAACTGATCTAATCTGGTCTCTTTGTGGTTTCACTCGGGGAAAGCTGAAATAGCTCCCCCTGGAGGATACCAAAAACATCACAATGGTACACCAGTGCAAAATTTAAAGTGGATCAAACTCAGTGGAGACCTTCATGTCACAGTGTCACACAGGGACATGCGTAACTGTGCTCTTCAACATGTTTTTTTTAATGGATTATTCTATCTCTGTATGTATGTTTTAAGATCTTCTTTCCTTTTTCACAAACAGGTAAAACGTTTGAAAAAAAAGAAAAGAAAGAACATTAAAAGATTTAAACAACATATCAATTTTTTCCCCAAAGTGACTTTTTTAAATCAAAGACAATAAAACAAAAGATACAAGATTTTTCATTTGATGTGATCACATTCATGAGACATTAGAAAACTTCTTGTAAAATCCACTAGCGTTAACATTCATAATGCCACACACATAAATGCTGTGGTGGAGGTGTTTCTGCAGGTAGACAAGCAAAAGAAGAAATGCTGCCCTGCTTCCTTGGTACTCTCACAGAGGAGCATTAAAGGACAATTTGACTGACTGGAAACTGGAACAAAAGCATGCAGTCAAAATATGAAGAAATAGCCACTGAAACTTTCATAATGTACAATGAGCCACGCAAAACATGATGTAGACATGAGACGAGGAAGATGCGCAAGAAACAGACAAACTGACAGCACGGAGAAGGAGAAGTGCTAAACAATGAACTCTCCATGTCTTTATAAAACAGATTGAAACGGCAGCGTTAGTAAAAATCTATGTTGTTTGCATTGTGATTTAAAACATAGTTATTATATATGAAACGTGGACATTTTATATATAATAACTCTGTACGTGTTTCTCGTCAAAGGTTGCTGTGGCTTTTGGTGTTTCCCCTGCATGCAGTGTGATGCAGCCAGTAAACATGGATGGTGCTGCGCACTGCCACTGCTGGATGTTTGTGGTGTGGTGTCCTGCTTACTCCGTGGGTCCATCAGAGAGCGCCACAACATTGTTGTAAGACTGCTTTCAGATGGAGGACACTGTTACAAACTACATTTAAAAGATAGATGAGGTCACTGGAGGAGGTGCAGTTTTAAGACTTCCTAAAAGTCCTGGAGGTTTCTGCTTGGAGTAATAAGTTATGATATTTTCAGAATATAGTAAAAGTCCTGAGATCGGTCTTTATTATTGAATGTGTGTATTTCAGATGTGGTTCTAAAATGAACTTCATTGCATAAAATGTGGGAAGGAACCTGCACATGTGGCTGCAACTCTCAGATATTTGGTTACCAGCTCCACACAGCATTTTTAAAGGACATGTTACTCTCAGTGCTGACGCCAGCCTGTTGTAACAGTTAGCTGTGGCAGGTTCCTGCCAGCATCAAAAAGCTGATAGTTAGTGAATATAGTGGAGCTTTTAGCAGATAAGGAGAAAGAGACTGCCGTCATTAATTTACGTCTTTATTGTTAGTAAAAACAGATGAATGTTGAATGTTGTGATGTGAAATTTACTGTCTGGAAATCACAGGAAAACCTCCTCTGCATGTTTCTGTTACTATTCATGTTGGTTTGAGTTCAGAATAATCAGTGCCGTACCTACACAGTGGCAACCACGACAGCACAATAATATTTGTTTTTATATAGCGCCAAATCACAACAGCAGTGGCCTGAAAGTGCTTTATATTGTAAGGTGAAGAAGCTGAAATCCTGCAGAGACCCCGTAACTCCTGCTGCTTCATCCTCTCTTTCTGCTTCTTCTCCTCCATCCTGCAGGGCTCGTTCTGTGATGACTGCTGTAAAGTGTGCTGGTGTTACCCGTGCGTTTGGTGCCAGATGCATCGTGAGCTGAAGATCAGGCAGTAATAGCAGCCCGCCACCTCGACTGCTGCCAGCACGCAGGTCGTCTGTGGATAGGATGCAAACATTTCGGCTGTGTGTTGAGGGCCTATGTCACTGCTGAAGAAAAATGCTTTAAATTTGTTGTCATATTAATGTGTCGAATCCTATTTGACTTTTTCAGGCCAATAAAATCCTTTAATTTTATACAACATCATGTGTGAGATTAATTGTCCTAGTGTTCAGATATAAACTAGTCGTATTCACTAATTGTGAACTTTGATAGGATAGTGAGAAGGACGGTATCATAATATATGTAGATGAAGTAATTGTTTGTAATAGTGGAACCTGTCGGGCTGAAACTGTGTTTTTCTGTTGTGCTTAATTCATTATAACATTGCATCATATAATGCTGCTGTATTAGAGCATTACTACTTCATTTAGATTTATTTGACCTAAAACATTTGAAAGAAAATCCACTGCTTCTGTAACGGTACTTTATCACCTTATATTATTTTTACCTTAGAAAATTTGTTAGAAAAATAAAAGTGCGCCATGCAAAATAAATAAAAATATCTAGCAATGAAACCAAGAGTACCCGAAATCATAAACATTTGAGTTCTTTGTCTAGTAAATCTTTGAGATTGGGTTCTTCTTATTCTGATGTGCCTAAAGCTTTGCAGCATATCGTTGCTTCCAGTTGCCTGAGGCCTCTCTTCTTGCTACACTGATGTAAGCAAACGCTGGACCAGTACACTGACACTGTAGATGTAGTCCCATTCGATACCTGATCTTTGTTTACTCTTGCTTCCTGGGTGAAAATGTGTAGCGAAGAATCGCTGCAATAGTACTTATCGGCCACTACATGCCCCCTTAATGCCTCTACATCACAGAACTCATGGCTAAACAACAAATCTGAGATTCATATTTTTTGACCAGATCATGCATGTACACAACAACGAAGCCTTGACTGCCTTAGTAAAGGTAAACACTGAAAGGTAAACACTCTTATTTTTGCCTACCTTATTTAATTACTAAACACTACCAACTGTTCTATTCACTTCATTTACACAAAGTTGTGTCCAAGGCGAAAATATGAAGAGTTCAAGAAGTTATTGGGTATCCAGATTTTTACAGACCCAAAATGGGACCTAAAATTCCCAAACTGTAAAACAATGCTTAACCTTTCACATGAGGCATACTGAGCGTCAGCTGAACAATATGAAACTGAGGCTACAATTTGATATTCTGGTGTGATGAGTCTCGATTTCTGCCAAAACATTCAGATGTTAGGGTCAGAGTTTGCTGTAAACATTATGAAAATATGGATCCATGCTCCATTGTATCAACAGTTCAGGCTGGTGATGGTGTGAAGATGCTGGTGATATTTTTTTTGGCACACTTTGGGTCCCTTAGTACTAACTAGCATGCTAGTAGTTAGGACTAGCATCATTTAAACACCAGAGCCTAACTGACCATTGTTGTGAGATGTCAGAGGCTAACCTCCACTGAGGAAGTGTCGATAGAAATATAACACAGAATTCAACAACAAGTATAACTGTATTTGAATTTGCTGAAGCTAATCTTTGTAGGAGCAAAGATATATTTTATTCGATGTAACAAACATACATATTTTGTTCGATGTAGTGAATAAGCAGAAAAGTACAAAATGTGTTGATTCTGAATACTGAAGTGTCATCTGAGTTCTGAGTTAGGCAACCGGATGAGCCACGGGGCATCTGCAGGGTTAGGGGGGTTACTGTATTTATAAGTAAATATTAGGAGGTATTTCAGGGTTTAAAGCATGTGATTTCTTGGCCAGCATCATCTGCCTGATTCCAAGTACAAATTTCGCAAGTCATGCCATGTACGCAGTTTGCAGATTTCTTGCTTCCTCATTTTCATGTTGCCGATGTGCATGTTACACAGATGTTACAACAGACAGTTTCTCATCATATTGTGTATTAAAAACATTCAGGTTACTATAGACAAGTTTATTGAGCTTTTACCCTCTTTGATAATTATTCCTTACATTTTTGTGGTATGTTCTTGTTATGAATTCTGAACTAGTACATTTCAAACAGGCATTTGGGATCAAACATTTTTTAGAGATTCAGAACAGTTCCCTTTTTGAGGATTGGTTTCTCTTTTTTTTGTTTTTCTCAGCGTCTTAAGACCCTCTTTTCCAAAACTCAAACTCAAAAGAAACATAAATAATAAAACAGAATACAATTTTAGATTTTTTGTAGAGCAAGTCCAAGTAGAACTGATAAGGAGGATCGATAGGCAGGCAGACTAACAATTCCAAGGAAATGATCTACTGGTGTGCAATTCCCATCCCTAGACAGGACTATTTATACACATCCAGTACCTCACTACAACACCTGCCTTACTTCACATAAAAAAGGCACTTCTAAAGTATGTAAGCAGATACAAGTGACCATAATATTTTTTACAGCAGTAATGCATTGCTCCTTTTATTATTGTTTTGGTGATGGTTCACAGAGAGGCAAAAACAAAATGGTCTTCTCTGATAAATGAACCATTCATGATGCCATGGTAGAAGCAGCAGACAGAGAGGTCTTCACTGACACATGTGCTTTCATCGCAGTTAACCTTTAATGATATGATTTACGTTCGTTTTGATTCGCTCAAAACTAGACGAAAACTATTTTTTTTGTTTGGGAGTTCTCCCTCTCCCATTTTTACATCTCTCTTGATCTCTACAGGCCTGACCGGAGGACAGGAGACAGTTGCCATGGTGAAGTGGGAAGAGTGGTCTTCTTATTACAGAGAGAAGTTTGTGCCATACAGGGCGAAAGATAAACCAAGTGCAGTTCTATTATAATGCATAATAGAACTGTTTACTGCCTGGGTGTTGTGCTCTTTGTTCGTTTAGGTTTGCTAAATGAAGTAAGAGACACGGTGCTGTTAGTAACTCTAACCTTTAACTGTCTAATTAAAATGTGTACTTTGAGTTTATGTTGTCTTCTCTCATAAAGAACCTGACCTTCAGATACTGTTATCTTCTGCCAAGACATCAGCTGCCTTGTCCTTCCATACCTGAGAATAGAAGCTAACCGTTGTGTTGAGCTTCTTCTTTAATCACTTACATGTAAAATCTACAAATGTGATGACTTGGTCCTCACGTTTCACTAGCTTTACACCAGATGTGTGCGCTGTGTGTACTCATTCCTGGAGCTGTCAGTAAAAATCGAACATGGTGACCTATTCTGAGTTTATACTTACACGGTTACACCGTGTAACAGATTGCAACTACCTGAGATTTCGTTAGTTTTATTGAGTTTTGGTCTCACCTTCTAATTCATTGTGATACCCGTGCGACCCATGCAGGACATACACTAGTTATGTACTTTACTGTCTGGGCCAAAAACATAAAAAAACAGCTTTGACAGCACGACACTGCCTGTGAAATCAACTAAAGACCAAAGCTAGCTCGTTAGCAGCTAAAAATGGCATCTTGTTAATTTAATTAAACTGCCAACAACTATCTTGTTTCTTCAGACTTTAATCATCTTCAATAAATATCCTCACAAATGTGACACTGTTTAAGGGGAACTAACAGCAATATTTATAACAGCAAGATTTATTCCCAGGAAGCGTTTTTACGGCAAAGAAATAATCAACCAAACACAAATTTACTCATCTTCGTGTAAATATCCAGCAGCTCCATTTAAAAAAGCAGACATCCCTCCAGCCATAACAGTAAATAAGTGAAATAAATTGTGATAAAAATACAGATAAAAATACATTTGAGCTAAGTCATCTTGTTTCCTTTCCCAGAAGAATTTGACTCATGAAATGTCAAGAGAAAAACCCGAGGTAGTGACCAGTTTATAAAATACTACATCATCTCTTGGACATTTACATTTTTTGGTTGATGGTGTAGTATTCAGTCCATAAGAATGCATTAATATGCAGGGTTGGTTCTTCTCATATCTACATGTTACTATTATTATGATTATTATTATTAGCAGTCGTATTACACGTTGAAGTATCATCGGTGCACTTACTAAGCCTCAGGTTGCTCTAGGTGTGTCCATCAGAGTGTGAGTGTGAATGTGGGACAAGGTGCAATGGAACAGTAAAAAGCAGTGTTTGGATGTGTTTATGTAGTAAAGAAACACTAAGTACTCAGAGTAGAAAAGCAATATATAGGTACCAGTCCATTTGGCTTTCAAATGTCAGTGTAAGTACTCTTAGACCTGCTGGTGACCAAATGTTTGGCTAAAGTACAGACTTTCTGCACTTAAGTACAAATAATACTGTTAAAAAATACTCCAGTAAAACTTGAACAACTGATTCAACGTCTTTACTCAAGTAAAAGTAAAAAAGTACAAGCTCTGAAATGTACTCAGAGTAAGAAAGTAAAAAGTATCCCTTTGGAGGAAGTTTCCATTTTGTGTGCCGAGCTAAGTGAACCTTGTGCTTTATTGCAACCGCCCCCCCAAAAAACACACACAAAAAAACACAGTCCCACTTTTAACCCAGACTTTGGCACAGTCATCTCTTGTTATGCAACATCCTCTGGTCATTTATAAAAAAGCCTGTCATATGTTTCTGTTTAGGCTCAAATTAGTTCGATGTTTGGAGGCTCACAGTGACAGAACTGCGTTAAAGCAACAGTAACTTTTTTACAAAATGTAAGGTGTAGAAAGTACAGATATATGTAGTAAAAAGTAATCATTAAAAACACGCTACTCAAGTACAGTACAGATACCTGAAGTACAGTAATAAAGTATTTGTACTTTCCACCTCTGGTGTCAAGTGTGTTTGGATTAACAGCAGAAGTACTGATGGATTCATAGAATAAGTCTTGTTGCTGCTCATCGGTTAAGCAGTGTGTTCTCCTTTCCCAGCACTGAAGCAGGGGCTCAGTGAATTCCTAAACATTCGTCATAGCAGTTACTGTGCGTGTGGACTTCCCATCAGGCTCAGCCCTCCGCGGCTCATAAGTAATCCAAAAACATCTGGCAATCCAGTAAGACTTAGATGTATGCGTACTCTCGGCACCTCCCCTTCCTGTTATTGGTCTGTGCTTAAATGCTGGTGCTTCCAAACTTTTTCTCTTGTTTTGAAAGCTCAGAGAACCAGAGAAGACAAAAGAAGGTAAGAAAGACATTTTACACTGATGAACAGCTTAAGAGAATCAGAAATCTTTGTAAAATCATGAATGTAATACGTGGTAACATGTTTCTGAGGAAGTCAGAGATAATAAATCTGTGCATAAAACCGGTGTCAGCTCTTTTGTCTGGGCCGTACATAAATCATTTGTACAGCTGGCCAAAGGTATTTGTTGTCATTTATATGAACCAGGAATCATCCTGTTATAACATGTATCAAAACCAGTCTTTCACCTTTTTCATGTTGAATTTCTCTAACCAGATAACCACTACAGCCTTTCAGTCTGTGTGTGTGTTTCTTTCAGCATGGTGATTCCTACAGGCACGGCTGTCCACAAGCAGCCCACCCAGGTGGTGACAGTCGTCAGGACCGTTGAAAACTCTGGCCAATGGAGCACCGACCTCTGTGATTGCTGCTCTGATATGGAGAGCTGTAAGTAAACCCAGGAAACCCTACAAACAGCAGTGATTTCTGCATGAGCGATCTCCTCAGACTTTGTTTGCAACAAGCTAATCGAGTGTTTGAAGTCAGTAAAAAATCAAGAATAAATGAACTATCTGAGACTACATGATAGCAATGATCATTTAGTAGCATTATGGAGTTTTTCATTATTTTACATTTACAGTTTTCGTAATTGGAGTGGAAATGTCGCAATACGTTGTGAGATGTGATGATTCATGCGCTGAGGTGTCTGTCTGTCTGAAAAATAACTCTGTACCTGTTTCTCCCCAAAGGTTGCTGTGGCCTTTGCTGTTTCCCCTGCATGCAGTGTGATGCAGCCAATAAACATGGATGGTGCTGTGCAATGCCACTCCTGGACGTTTGTGGTGTGGTGTCCTGCTTACTCCGTGGCTCCATCAGAGAGCGCCACAACATCGAAGTAAGGCTGGATTAGAGATGGAGGACACTGTTACAAACTACACTTAAAAGATAGATGTGGTCACTAGAGGAAGTGCACTTTTATAACTTCTGCACTGGCTTCATTTTTTGAATTGAAGCGAGTTGAATGTGTGTCTTTGTGATGTGGTTGTAAAATGAACTGACGTAAAATCTAAATGTAAATTTTATGAGATTCATATAAAATGCACACAAATTGTGCTTTGTGCAGATCCTTCTCACTCACCGTCACCTCTTCAATAGCTCCCAGATGTCTCTGTGTCCTCATTATTTGTTTATAAGTAACCACATCATGTAGTGCCATCATAAACGTGACCTGGATAAAACTTGTGGTATTTTGCAATCCGTGGAAGTTATAAAGGAGTAGCTTGAGTTGAGAAAGAGGAAGAGTAAAGTTCTTCAAATCTGAAATCTCTTGCCCTCATCGTGGGAAAAAAAGTTGAGGTTGCTTGTTTTGACAAACTCTCAGATATTTGGTTACCCAGCTCTACACAGGGACACAGCTGCCAGATGAGGGGATGACAACACCCCACTAAACTTTTATGTCTGAGGGGTAACAACAGTAACTCCTGCTGCTTCATCCTCTGTCTATCTGCTTCTTCTTCTCCATCCTGCAGGGCTCGTTCACTGATGACTGCTGTAAAGTGTGCTTTTGTTACCCGTGTGTTTGGGGCCAGATGCATCGTGAGCTGAAGATCAGGGAAAACAAGTAGCCCACCACCTCGACTGTGATCAGCACGCAAGTCGTCTGTGGATACGATGCAAACATTTTGGCTGTGTGATGAGAGGCTATGACTTTTTCAGGCCAATAAAATCCTTTAATTTTATACATCATGTGTGAGATTAATTGTCCTCTTCTGCAAAACAGAGTTTAACCATTGTTCAGATATAAACTAGTCATATTCACTAATTGTGAACTTAGATAGGATAGTGAGAAAGACATTGTGAGATCACACTGTCCACTCACATAACTTTTCACAGTATTATAATATATGCAAATGAAATAATTGTGTATGATGGTGGAACCTGGCAGGGTGACGCTGATCCTTAACAACAAGGAAACAGACCACAGACACATAGACGTCTGAATGTCAGTAAGTGCATCTCTCACCAACATGAACATTGATCATAATGAAAAAGACCAGCATGGTACGGCCTGAAGAAAGCCAGACACCATGTGGCGCTTTTACAAATGACAGCTGCAGATGTGTGCAAAGAACTCTACGTGTGGGGAACAATAATGTGACTCAAAGCATCTGTTATGTGTATCTGCTGTCCAAGTAGGTTAAACAACATTAGCCAACATCAGAGTTAATAAGCTCGTTTTAGCTCTGTGCACTGGCACTGGTCTGCTGCCATGTCGTTTCTAGACAAAAAGCTGACGTACTTTATTGTCATAGTTGATAAAGTTTCTTCATCAAGCTTTAACATTTACAGAACAGCTCAAGATCCAGATGAGAGCAAGTCAAATGGACATTATTTGTCAAAGGCCAGCAGCAGCAGCCATATTCAAATTGATAATTGTCATGAACTTTTTGGGTTGTAAATTCTGTTTCACTTTTACTTAGACTGAGAGACGAGGACATTAACATTAACACATCAACATGTGTTTCTTGTCCAGGTGTGTGGAGTGGCAGAAGGATTTTTATGTCTACACTGAATAATGCTTCTTTAATTGCTTGATAGTTTAGTGGATTGTAACAAGCTCAGCTCCTCAACTCTGTGCGGTGCTGTAAATAATGGATGAAGGTTTGTTTGTCTTTTAGTGTTACCTATTAATGTCTGGATAAGAACAGATTATGTGCAGAACAGCACATTACTGTAGCAGAGAAGCTCCAGAGCTACCCAAGCCAGTGTTCAGTGCTATTATGTCACTGTTTTAACACTCCCAGCTTCAACAATCCACTTAAAAGCTTCTTATTAACAGTTAAATAATTCACAGTGATCACAGTGGCCACACAGATGTTCATATCCCATAATCGTACACAGTGCTGTGCTCTACAACCCACCTGATGCTCATCTCTCAGTGCATTTATCCACTGCCTCTGAGAGAGAGTGCCATTGCTCTTCCACAGAGTAATAGATAAATACATTGTGGTTATTATGGCAAGTGGAGTCACACACAACATAAACACAGCTACACCTCCATGTGGTTAAGAGACTGAAACAATGTTAAGCATGTTTCTCCTTTTATCTGCTTTATTACAAATAGTTCAGCTTACTTAGGAAAGTTCTGATCAACGTGAGCGAGCCTCTGCATCAGGCGGGATAATTACTGGGTCCACCTTAAAACCAGTGTATTTTACTCTAATCGCACTACAAAGGTTGCTTTTCAAAGTAACACTGCAATAACTACACCTTTAAATTCAGGTTTATGAAGGTGAAAAAGTTTGTTTGTAACAAGAATGCAATAATGTTCATTTTTGGCGCAATGTATGCATGACATTATGATTGGGTGATGACATCCTCTAAAGGTTTTACCCTAGAATCACGTCAGTTCACCATTAAATAAATGAAACAGAATTTACATGTAAATTGATGCGATTGCCTTGCAATATATTTAAAACAGGCTTTGTGGTAACAGTAGTCTGTGTAATTCAGTTCAATTTTATTTATATGGGCCAATTCACAACAGCAGTTGTCTCAAGGCTCTAAGTGGATTTAAACTTTCTGTTCTTCACCAACTGATTTTTCTTACTTTGTAAGAAACAGTCTGAGTAACTGGACTTCTATAACACCCAGTAACAACATTAACATCTGTCCACTGGTCTTTTACAGTGTTTCACAGTTGTTCAGTATCATTAGGCATCATTAGTTGGCTCAGATGAACATGGATTGTTCATTTTGTGTTTTTCTGTCCTTTCTGACTTTGAGAAATTAATTAATGCCTTCATTTCATCCAGGCTTGATTATTTCCTTCATTTTGGAGGCAGGGGGAGAGAACGAGAGAAGAAGAGGCAGCTGTGCAGCGTAACGACAGAATAACTCCAGCTTTGTGTCTTTTTTTCATTATAGCGAAAGTCCGGGACAAACTGCGTCTCTTCTCAGCTCAACACGAAACGCGTAATATTTTCTCTGAATGAGGGACCATCACATTTTTTTTAAGGAGCCGTTGGCAACTCTACTAACTAACTTTATGAATAAAATAAAGTAAACTATCAGTAACATCATAGCAACCACCCAGTTGTATAAAAACTCCGTCAAGCTGGCTAGAATGCAGTACGAGTTATTGCAACTGAGGGTAAAAAGTCAGCACAACGAAAATAAACTCCACCTAAACTTGGTTTATATCTGACCCAGATAGACTGCAGGTCATAACTTCTTACCTGAAGTTCAGTTCACCTGACACTCGGACCGGTGGCTGCCTCGGGTCTCTCCTCCTGCCTCCCCTTGCCTCATCCACCTGCTGGCCTCTGTGGAAGCCCCGCCACAGCCACCACCAAACAACTGAGTTATTTTTACACATCGACCTGCATCTGGCCAATCCACCACCTCTCATTGTTCATGCCATTACAAAAAAAATAAATAAATAAGTCACGGGGCATATGCCCGGTATGCCTGATGGCCAGTCCAGCTATGTTAACCTGCAACCACATCTGCAGCTCCATACAGCAATGTTACGACTTAGATTATATCTTATAACTCATAACTCTTATGTTAGCTGCCCTCAGTAGCATACTGTCTGAAATATTCAACAGCTGCAATAATTCTTTAAGTGTTATTTTTTCCTTGGTATTCTAATTTTTTACTAAACTCAACAAACTTAATATTACTTACATTTATTCTGTCCTCATTTTCTTTCACCAAAAAATTGTTTCCTGCGGTGCCGTCTTTCGTGCTTGCCTCTCCTACCTTTGCTAACGTGATGCGCATAGCGCAGAAGCCGATGCTGCATTCACTTACACTCGGATATCTGAGCTTCACCGTGAAAACATAATCGGACATTTGATATTTGATTGAATTTTATTGTTTTGCCTTTGGGGTGGCACCTGGGGTGGCCAGTCTGGTTGGGGGCGTGGCCTGTGCCCCCCCAGGCCACCCCGCTGGACACGCCACTGCCCACACTCGACATCTTTAAAACCCACTTGAAGACACATCTTTACTCTCTAGCATTTAAATATGAGTTTTTTGTGTGTCTTGTTTGTCCTTTTTTCTCTGTGTTTGTTTTATTCCTTTAAGTTGAACACCACTTTAATCAACTCTTATTGTTTTTAAATAAATTGACTTGGCAAGTTGATTTGAAAACACCAAAGTGTGCAGAGGTTTCAGTGTGTGTGTGTGTGTGTGTGTGTGTGTAGTAGCAGCCGCTATTGGTTTATATGAGTACCATGTCATGTGACCAAACATTTGACGATTGTCTTAAAAACACGAAACTTACATTTTTTTAAGGGTCACACACACCAACCATAACATGCCAGCTGATGTGAACCTGATCAAATGTCGTGGTTTTGAAAACACAGAAGCTCTTTTTGCTGTTACATGATGTTACTTACAAGTTTAGACTTGAGAGTCTGGGCAGGCTGTGGCTGGTTCTGTTTTTAGTTTATAGTTATGGTTTATGGTTAGTATGCTGGAGGCAGAGCTGAGGTTTGTTCCACTCGCCTGTACTTCCCGAGGCAGCTCGGATCAGAGCTGACCCTTCTCACCCTGGACACAGTCTGTTTGACCTGCTCCCCTCAGGCAGGAGGCTCCGGTCCATTCGCACCAGAACCTCTCGCCATAAGAACAGTTTCTTCCCCTCTGCTGTTGGACTCATGAACAATAACCATATGACTGTTCGCACCACTAACACATGACCCTACGCTGTGTTCACTGCATCATCCCATTTTTGCACTGATCACCACCTGCACTCATGTATATATCTATCTAGTTAGCACTTTTAATTCTTATCTTTATGTTTATTTGAGCGTTGTCTGACAGAATGTTTTGCACTAAGTACCGCAGCAATTTCCTAATGTTGTAAACCTGCTCAACATTTGGCAATAAAACCCTTTCTGTTTCTGATTCTGTGTTTGAAATTAGTTCGATGTTTGGAGGCTCACAGTGACAGAACTGCATTGAGCAAAAGTAACAAGCCTTTTTACACAATGAGTAGAAAGTACAGATATTTGTAGTAAAAAGTAATCACTAAAAAAACTCTACTCAAGTACAGTACAGATACCTGAAGTACAGTAATAAAGTATTTGTACTTTCCACCTCTGGTGTCAAGTGTGTTTGGATTAACAGCAGAAGT